AAGGTGAAAAGACAGCCTTCAGAATGGGAGAAAATAATAGCAAACGAAGCAACAGACAAAGGATTAATCTCAAAAATATACAAGCAACTCCTGAAGCTCAATTCCAGAAAAATAAATGACCCAATCAAAAATTGGGCCAAAGAACTAAACAGACATTTCTCCAAAGAAGACATACAGACGGCTAAGAAACACATGAAAAGATGCTCAATCACTCTATCAGAGAAATGCAAATCAAAACCACAGTGAGGTACCAACTTTAATTCCTAATGAATTACCACACAAATTAATCCCCTCACATGTGCGAAGTACATTGGCAGCTGTTACAGAAGCATCTTCAAGGCCTTAACCCTTTTCAGTGACATCCTGGGTACAAAACCCTCTGTTTCCCTGACCTGCAGACAAGCTTGTGTCTCAGGCCTCATGGAGGTGAAGGTGGGTTAACTAGCTTGCAGCCTCATGGCCCAGAGAAGATCCCTGCCCATGCCAGACTAGCAGAGGGCTCAAATTTAACACAGAATACACTCCACCAACTGACAGATGGGGCTTTCCATTGCACAACCTATAAAATAGGAGTCTTGGAAACAAAGTGATTCTTTAGCAGTATAACATGTGGGGAAATTATAATATCAGCAAATCATTTTTAAACTAATTTTTATCCTTTAACAGTTTATTGAATGGAAGTGGTAAAGCTTTTATCTCAACAATACGTATGCAATGACATACTAATATGCATTCCTACTATTAAATTTAAACAGCACTTTCTGGCTCATTTTCTTATTTCTTCCCCAACCTCCACCTTCCTCATCACTACACAATGGTATATTAATAACTCCCCAGTTCTAAAATCTATACTTCTCTACCTATCTTTTAAAAACTGCAGAGAAGTGCACAAATCATATGTGTGGAGGTAAATAAATTTTCAAAAAGTGAACCCCCTCGTGTAACCATCACCAGATTTTACCTTTTGAATATCTTTGAGGCGACTTTCTTTTATCTTTTTTACGGATGTTGTGAAAAAATTCACAGCGCTTTTTGGAAATATGCTGATATTTAACACTTCAAAGATTGGGATAAGGAATGGAAAGAGTGCTGAAGAGAAAACATAAAAGAAAAGCAGAGTAAAAAATTAAAATTTACACAGTAAGTATAATTTGCACTATCTATCAGAGAAAGATATCAGAATCACTCCCACTGTGACCTTTGCTCAGACTTCCAAGCCAGTGACTGAGCAAGGCCAAGTCCACTTATGGGGCCTTCACTATAGTAGTGAAACCAGTGGTCCCTTCTGCCTTTTGGAGTGATCAAGGAAACAGAATTATATTCCTTAACTTGGTGGTTTTTTTATCTATTTGATTAGAGTCTCTTTGGATAAACCACACTATAGTCTGCTCCTCTAATTAACCACTTCATTCAAACAACAATTCAAGATAGAAATAAAACAGTATGTGCCTCTCAGCCATAATGGAATTAAATTAAAAACCAATAACAAAAATTGGGAAATTCACAAATAATGGAAATTAAATAATACACTCCAAAATAACCAAGGAGCTGTATACTATATAAAAAATGAAACCAGGAATTACTTTGAAATAAAGAAAAATGAAACTAATACTTACTAAAATGAATGGAACATAGGAAAAACATCATTCATGGAAAACTTTAAGGCTATAAATGTCACTTTTAAAAAGAACAAAGATCTCAAGTCATGAACCTAACTTTCCACCCTAACTCACTGAAAAAAGAAGAGCAAACTCAACCTAAATCTAGATGAAAGAAGAAAGTAATGAAGATTTTGTATTTCCATACAAGATGGGATGGGGAACACATGTAAATCCATGGCTGATTCATGTCAATGTATGACAAAAACCACTACAATGTTGTAAAGTAATTAGCCTCCAACTAATAAAAATAAATGAAAAAGAAAAAAAAAATACTGGGCTACAGCTAAACTCTTGTTACTCAAAGAATGGTCCATGGACCAACAGCATGAGCAGGATCTAGAAGTCTAATACAAATTCAGAACTATGGAAACAACATATGAATTTTCATGAGATGTGGAGATGTGTGTGCACAATGTAGCCTGAGAAGCATGGATTATGCCCTTGAGAGTCATCAGGTGATACAAGACCTGGGGCACAAGCCTTCAAGGAGATGATCGAGATATGTATAGAAGCTACAGAAATCAATAAAAAACTTGAAGAGTTGTGATGATCCTAGTCTAATCATTGGCATTAAAATAGCAGAAGAAATAATGTGTGCATATAAGGACATAGGCCAGTGTGAAATACAGAAAAATTAGGTCCAGGGAGTAGAATTAGCAATGCTAATTCAACTCCAGCCTGAAGGTCATCCTTTCAGTTTACACCCCCACTTTCTGCTCTTCTTTATTCTTACCAAACAGCCTTGTGGTTATACACTGGTCTCCATTTGTATTTTCTCCCGAGAGACCAAGCATGCTCAGGCTCTCTGCTATTTGATGGGACTGAAGTAGGATCTTTGTTACTTAGAGCACTCAACTCAACGTAGTACCTGACCCAACCAACTGACTAAAAATAAAAGCAATATAAAATGAGTGTAATAAAGATCTAGAAAGTTCTAGTTCCCCAATGATGATATGTGTGATGTTATCGTGGATAAATTCAACCCATTCCCATTGAATAAATTCAAATTCATTCCCATTTAGCATAAACCACAAAATACTCAAAGTTTAGAGTTGTGCTGTCTAATATATGACTCTTCAAATTTTAATTGATTAAAATTAAATACAACTTATCATTCAGGTTTCAGTAGCACTAGTCACACGTCTCAGGACATCCCTGGTGGCTCAGATGGTAAAGCGCCTGCCTATAATACAGGAGACCCAGGTTCAATCCCTGGGTCAGGAGGATCTCCTGGAGAAGGAAATGGCAACCCAATCTAATGTTCTTGCCTGGAAAACCCAATGGATGGAGGAGCCTGGTAGGCTACAGTCCATGGGTCACAAAGAGTCAGACATGACTGAGCAACTTCATACTCACTGACTCAGTCTCATGTCAAGTCCTCAACAGAAACTTGTGTCTAGTGGTTACTATATTGAACAGAGCAGATATAGAATATTTCCTTCATCATAGAACATTGTATTGAATAACGTACTTGGAAAAATGATAAATGATAATAATAGATAGATAGACATAAGTGGGTGTACACACAGGAATAGACATAATGAGAATGGGCTGGAGTCAATTTATCCCTGCTTTCAAGAACCAGTTTTATAAAATTAATACTTTTGTGAGGTTATCACAAATTATCACAAATATTGAGAGGTTAACAATCCATTGGTAGCTTCAGATTAATCATCTAGGAGTATTCATGTCATGGAATTAAAACAAATCAGGGTCTTTTTGTTTGAGAGAGAGAGCATATTTATATCAGTGATTTGAGGTAGATATAGAAATCTTTTTTATTTTTACAACTGGGTAAAAGTAGTTCATCTTCTGAAAGTTGTCCACTGAGGATCTAGAAGCAAAGAAACCCTAGTAGCAATGATTATTCCTAGAACACAAATTTTGGATTCTAAATACCATTTCTCACTAAATGGAACCTGAACTTCTTAGAGAAATGGCTTATTCCAGAGGAAATAGGAGAGAAAGCTGGAATGCCTTGCATTAGGAAGTGAGGAAGTTCTTAGAAAATGATAAATGAAAAGGATACAGGATACTCTGTATATGACAGTGGTAGACACACATCATTATACATTTATCAAAACCCATAGAATATACAATACCAAGATTGGACCCAGGTGTGAGCTATTGTCTTTGGGTGATAATAATGTATCAGTGTAGGTTTATTGATTCTAACAAGTGTATCACTCCAGTATGGACTTCAGATATTGAGGAAGGCTATATGTAGGTGGGGGCAGAATGCATATTGGGAAACTCTGTATTCTACACTCAATTAAGATTTTTTAATTTATGCTAAAAAATGGTCTATTGAAAATTTTTCAAGAGAAAAAGTAATATGTATATAGGAGCCTACTTGAAAGAGCTCCAGGGGAGAAACCTGAGAGAATTTGAAAATCAAAATGAAGAGTGATGTGAGAGAGTAAGTTAGTTGTACATGAGATATACTGACATAAATAAATAAATGATAGGGGGAGAATGGAGAGCTCTCCCTATGAAAGAACATCAGCTCATAAGTATAGAAGAATGATGGGTTTCAAGAGGCATGTTTTAATCATCATAGTAACAATGATTTCAGTCAAAAACCATCCATGAATGATAAAACCAGTGGGTGAAAATTTGAAGAGGAACAGAATATTTACAGTCTCAAAGTCTTCTCCCAGAAATTACCTGTTAATAACAAAGGGAAAAACAATTACACTTTACAGTAGAATAAGCCTGTGAACACAAGTTTAAAAGTGTTCCAAGTTAAGGTCACCAACAATGGGGCAATGTGCCCCCTGATGAATGAAAGGATGAAGCCTTGATGCAAATTTCCAGGCAGAGGTTCTGACTTGGTGGGTCTGGAGGAGCCTGAGAACTGATATTGGAACCAAGCTCCCCAGAGGTTCAGCTGTAGTGATCCACATCATAACTGACTTCTGGGCATGACATCCTTGTTATACTTGCCCTTCGAGCTCTGAACAAAGTTATGCCTGCAAACTTCTAGAAAGTACCACAGTCTACTCTTTCTTTCTGCACAAGTGTCTTTCTTCAATTTGGCCTAAATTCCCATCTGCCTTGAAATCTTCCTGCACATTTTAAGAACTGCTCTGTGTCTCCCCAGCTCTCCTTGGTTACCTTTATGATTGTCTGTTTCCTTGGAATTCTGGGAGTTAATCATCAGCTGAAGAAAATCCACTCGCGGCTGTAAGCAGAAAGAAATTTCTATGAAAGAAAGTTACTTGTGAAATCACAGACAAATCAGGAGTGCAGTATTTAACCTCTTTCCTGAGACTATGGCCCCTTAAAGAGCAGAAGTCTGACTAGTATTGCCTGAGTCCTCAGTGAACTAATATTCACCTACAGACCTTGGAGAACATGATATTTCTCAGAGAGAAAACCGCCATCATGTCAACACTTTTTTGGTCCTCACTCTTTCTGATTTTTGGTTTCTCTGGCTTTTGAAACAGCTTCCTTGCCCAAGAGTTGCCAGCTGTCTCTTCTGTCACCCCTGTTTGTTCTGGAGAAAGTCTATGACTTGGATCCTTTTTTTCCTTCCAATTTTAATCCCCTTTTTTTTCCTCATTTATTTTTATTAGTTGGAGGCTAATCATTTTACAATATTGTAGTGGTTTTTGCCATACATTGACATGAATCAGCCATGGATCCACACGTGTTCCCCATCCCGATCCCTCCCTCCTATCCCCCTACCCATCCCATCCCTCCGGGTCTTCCCAGTGCACCAGCCCTGAGCACTTGTCTCATGCATCCAACCTGGGCTGGTGATCTGTTTCACCCTTGATGGTCAATGCTATGACTATTTCAGTAGATGCAGAAAAAGCCTTTGACAAAATTCAACATCCATTTATGATAAAAACTCTCCAGAAATCAGGAATAGAAGGAACATACCTCAACATAATAAAAGCTATATATGACAAACCCACAGCAAACATTATCCTCAATGGTGAAAAATTGAAAGCATTTCCNCTTTTGCACAACAAAGGAAACTATAAGCAAGGTGAAAAGACAGCCTTCAGAATGGGAGAAAATAATAGCAAACGAAGCAACAGACAAAGGATTAATCTCAAAAATATACAAGCAACTCCTGAAGCTCAATTCCAGAAAAATAAATGACCCAATCAAAAATTGGGCCAAAGAACTAAACAGACATTTCTCCAAAGAAGACATACAGACGGCTAAGAAACACATGAAAAGATGCTCAATCACTCTATCAGAGAAATGCAAATCAAAACCACAGTGAGGTACCAACTTTAATTCCTAATGAATTACCACACAAATTAATCCCCTCACATGTGCGAAGTACATTGGCAGCTGTTACAGAAGCATCTTCAAGGCCTTAACCCTTTTCAGTGACATCCTGGGTACAAAACCCTCTGTTTCCCTGACCTGCAGACAAGCTTGTGTCTCAGGCCTCATGGAGGTGAAGGTGGGTTAACTAGCTTGCAGCCTCATGGCCCAGAGAAGATCCCTGCCCATGCCAGACTAGCAGAGGGCTCAAATTTAACACAGAATACACTCCACCAACTGACAGATGGGGCTTTCCATTGCACAACCTATAAAATAGGAGTCTTGGAAACAAAGTGATTCTTTAGCAGTATAACATGTGGGGAAATTATAATATCAGCAAATCATTTTTAAACTAATTTTTATCCTTTAACAGTTTATTGAATGGAAGTGGTAAAGCTTTTATCTCAACAATACGTATGCAATGACATACTAATATGCATTCCTACTATTAAATTTAAACAGCACTTTCTGGCTCATTTTCTTATTTCTTCCCCAACCTCCACCTTCCTCATCACTACACAATGGTATATTAATAACTCCCCAGTTCTAAAATCTATACTTCTCTACCTATCTTTTAAAAACTGCAGAGAAGTGCACAAATCATATGTGTGGAGGTAAATAAATTTTCAAAAAGTGAACCCCCTCGTGTAACCATCACCAGATTTTACCTTTTGAATATCTTTGAGGCGACTTTCTTTTATCTTTTTTACGGATGTTGTGAAAAAATTCACAGCGCTTTTTGGAAATATGCTGATATTTAACACTTCAAAGATTGGGATAAGGAATGGAAAGAGTGCTGAAGAGAAAACATAAAAGAAAAGCAGAGTAAAAAATTAAAATTTACACAGTAAGTATAATTTGCACTATCTATCAGAGAAAGATATCAGAATCACTCCCACTGTGACCTTTGCTCAGACTTCCAAGCCAGTGACTGAGCAAGGCCAAGTCCACTTATGGGGCCTTCACTATAGTAGTGAAACCAGTGGTCCCTTCTGCCTTTTGGAGTGATCAAGGAAACAGAATTATATTCCTTAACTTGGTGGTTTTTTTATCTATTTGATTAGAGTCTCTTTGGATAAACCACACTATAGTCTGCTCCTCTAATTAACCACTTCATTCAAACAACAATTCAAGATAGAAATAAAACAGTATGTGCCTCTCAGCCATAATGGAATTAAATTAAAAACCAATAACAAAAATTGGGAAATTCACAAATAATGGAAATTAAATAATACACTCCAAAATAACCAAGGAGCTGTATACTATATAAAAAATGAAACCAGGAATTACTTTGAAATAAAGAAAAATGAAACTAATACTTACTAAAATGAATGGAACATAGGAAAAACATCATTCATGGAAAACTTTAAGGCTATAAATGTCACTTTTAAAAAGAACAAAGATCTCAAGTCATGAACCTAACTTTCCACCCTAACTCACTGAAAAAAGAAGAGCAAACTCAACCTAAATCTAGATGAAAGAAGAAAGTAATGAAGATTTTGTATTTCCATACAAGATGGGATGGGGAACACATGTAAATCCATGGCTGATTCGTGTCAATGTATGGCAAAAACCACTACAATATTGTAAAGTAATTAGCCTCCAACTAATAAAAATAAATTTTAAAAAACCCTGAAAATAGAATTGCCATACCACCCAGGAATCCCACTGCTGGGCATACACCCTGAGCAAACCAGAACTGAAAGAGACACATGTACCCCAATGTTCATGGCAGCACTATTTACAATAGCTAGGACATGGAAGCAACCTAGATGTCCATCAGCAGATGAATGGATAAGGAAATTATGGTACATATACACAATGGAATATTACTTACTATAAAAAGAAATGCATTTGAGTCAGTTATAGGGAGGTGGATGATCCTGGAGCCTATTACACAAAGTGAAATAAGTCAGAAAGATAAAGAAAAATACTGTATATTAATGCACATATATGGAATTTAGAAAGAAGGTACCGACAATTCTACATGCAGGGCTGCAAAGGAGACAGATGTAAAGGAGAGAGTTTCAAACTAAGTGGGTGAAGGCAGGGGTGGGATGATTTGAGAGAATAGCACTGAAACATGTACATCATCATGTGTAAAATAGATGACCAGTGCAAGCAGATGTATGAAGCAGGGCGCCCAAAGCTGGTGCTCTTGGATACCCAAAAAGATAGGGTGCAGAGAGGGGTGGGAGGGGATTCAGCATGGGGTGGACACATGTATACCTGTGGCTGATTCATGTTGATGGATGACAAAAACCTCACAATACTGTAAAGTAATTATCCTCCAATTAACATTATGTAAATAATTGGAAAAAATACTAAACAGAAACTACTCAAAAAGAAAGAGACAATGTGAATAGACCTATAAGAAATACAGTTTGATCTGATAATCAAGAAACTACCCACAATTTGACAATGAAAAGTTCAGGTGCAGATGGTTTCAATGCTGAATACTACTCAAATAATTAAAAAATTAATATCAACTTTTCACTAACTCATCCAACAAATAGAAGATGACAGAATACTTTGAAAGTCATTCTTCAGGATCAGCATTAACCTGGTGTGAGAAAGAGAGTAAGATAGTAGAGGAAAAGAAAACTACAGACCAATGTATCTTATGATCATGGATACACAAATCCTCAAGAAAATACTAGCAAACTGAACCTACTAATATATACAAAGATGTATACACCATATATAAGTGCACTTTATCCCAGGAATGCAAATTGTATAATATGCCATTTCAATAGAGTAAAAAACAATGACCACACAATTATCTAATATGTGCATAAGAAGCATGTGACAAAAATCCAATACACACTTGTGATTAAAAAAACTGTCAGCAAACAGGAAAAGAAGGGTCTTTCATTAACCTGATAAAAGGAATCTATGAAAAACCCACAGTTAACACTAATACTTAATAGTGAAAAACTGGATGGTTTTCTCTAACATTAAGAATAAGACAAAAACCACTATAATATTGTAAAGTAATTAGCCTCCAACTAATAAAAATAAATGAAAAAAAAAAGAATAAGACAAGTAAGCCTTCTTCATCACTTCTACTCAAAACTGTACCTGATGTTCTAACCAGAAGAATTAGTCAAGAAAATTAAAGAAAGTATATCCAAATAGGAAATGAAGAATAAAACTCTATCAGATAACATGATCTTGTACACAGGGACTCCTAAGGAAGTCACTAAAAACCTATTAGAATTAATAAACAAGTTCAGCCAGGTTTCAAGATACAAGATCAAAGTACAAAATCAATTGTATTTCTGTACATTGCAAAAAATAATCTGAAAGTCACATTGAAAAAACAACTCCATTTATAATAACATCAAAAAGAATAGAATAAGTAGAAATAAAATATGTAAAATTTACACTCTGAAAACCACAAAACCTTGTTGAACTAAATTAAAGAAGATGTAAATGAAAAACATGCCATGTTCATGAATCAGAACATTTACATTGTCAAGATGGCAAATTGACTGACATAAAGCATTTCCTTTCAGAACTCTAGCTAAACTCTTTGAAGAAACGATCTTAGATTAAACTCATAGGAAATTGCAAGGGGCTCATAGGAGAAAAAAGATTCCTGAAAAAAATAATAAAGTTATAAAGACTCACATTTCCTGATTTTAAGATTTACCATAAAGCTACATTAATCAAGGCAAAGTGGTTCTGGCCTAAGGATGGACATACAGATTCATAGAATAGAGTTTTGAATACAGAAATAAGGCCACATGCCTATGGTCAACTGAACACTGAAAATCTTTCTAAGACCATTCAATGGAGACAAAACAGTCTTTTCAATAAGTGGTGCTGAGACAACAGGATCAGTTCAATTCAGTTCAGCTGCTCAGTCGTGTCCGACTCTTTGCGACCCCATGGACTGCAGCACGCCAGGCTCCCCTGTCCATCACCAACTCCCAGAGTTTACTCAAACTCCATGTCCATTGACTCGGTGATGCCATCCAACCATCTCAAGCAAATTATACCAGGACTATTGATTTAAGTGATAACTGAAATTTGTACCTTTTGACCACCATCATCCAATTCTATCTCCCAAACCCTATCTTTGGTAACCAAAAGTCTAACATCATTTTTCTATGAGTTTGGGTTTCTTCCTTTGATTCAGCATGTAAAGTGTTTGTCTTTCTCTGTCTGACTTATCTCACTAAGCATAATACCCTCCATTGAGGTCCAGACACATTGCTGCAAATGGCAGGATTTCCTTTTTTTTTCATGGCTGAATAGTATTGTGTGTGTATATATATTTTCCCTCTATCTTTATCCATCCATGGACACTTAGGTTGTAAAAACCATTGTATTGTATATTTTAAATCAGTGAATTGATGGTATTGAATTATATCTCAATAAACCTATGAAAAAGAAGGAAGGAAGGGAGGGAAGGAGGAAGGGAGGAAGAAAGAACAAGAGGGAAGAAGGGACGGAGGGAGAAATACAGAAAAAGAAATGTAGTAGGACACTTACCTACTGAGAAAAGAAGTGGATCAAGGATATCAAATCTTAAGAGCCTCTTGGCATTCTCCACAAAGGGATCTTGTGGGTTGCCAAGGGAATCAATATTCACTCCAAATGATGTGCTAGTAATCACATCCATGCTGTAGCCCCCAAAGACCCTGAGTAGAGAAAGATAAACACAGACAATTACAATCGGGACCAGTTGACTACCCATATCCAACATAGTCAAAAAGAAAATCAGATGCCCAGGCAAGACAGGTCAAGAGCCACACTCTCTCAGAACCACCTGCTGGATCATGGAAGACTGTCTGCTACTCTCACTCACTCCTGAGGTGTGTATGAGGTGTGGATGATGCAACTGCCCCTGTGCTGGGAAGATGGGGAGGCAAGTTAGGGCCCCCCCCACCACCCTGCCATCAAACTCAAGGAGCTCAGTCATAGAAGGATAGAACCCATAATCTGACAAAGCACAGTAGTGTGCTTTGACTATGGGCAATAAAAGGTGTATACGGACTGTGTCTGAGCACAGCAAAGGGAGTAAATTCACTCTTCCTGGGGAGTCAAGAAAGGGGACATTGATCTGGGTCTCACCTCACCACAGAACCTGTGCTCAGAGCTGATTCCCTTTTAGTGCAAAAGCAGAGTTGATATACAATATCACAGTAGTTTCAGGTGTAGAAGAGTGATTTTAAATACTTCATTTAAAGTTATTATTAAATACTGAATACATTCCTTGTTATGTACAATCTATCCCTGTAGCACAATTTTGTTATACATTATAATTTGGACCTTTTAATCGTCTACCCTATCTTGCACTCCCCTTCCTACTTTCCACTGGTAACCACCAGTTTGTTTTCTATATCTGTGAGTCTGTTTCTGTTTTGTTATATTGATATTTATTCATTTTATTTTTAGATTCCACATATAAATGATAACATGCAACATTTGTCATTGTTTGTCTAACTTATTTCATTAAGTATAATACCCTCTAGGTCCATACATGTTGTAAATGGCACAGTTTCATTCTTTTTTATGGCTCAGTAATATTTCTTGTTGGGGGGTGGTATGTATACACACATGTGCCACATCTTCTTTAAGCATTCATGTACAGACAGACACTTACATTGCTTCTGTATCTTGGCTATTATAAATAAAGCTGATATAAACATTGGGGTGCATGTACCTTTTCAAATTAGTGTATTCATTTTCACTAGACGTATACCCAGGGTGGAATTTCTAGATCATATAACAGTTCTTAGCTTCCTGGGTGGCTCAGTGGTAAAGAAACTGCCTGCAAGGCAGATTTGGGTTTAATCCCTGGGTCAGGAAGATCCCCTGTAGAAGGGAATGGCTACCCACTCCAGTATCCTTGCCTGGGAAATCCCATGGACAGAGGAGCCTGGAGGGCTACAGTCTGTGGGGTCACAGAGAGTGGGACATGATGGAACACAGACAATAGTTCTCTTAAGATTGTGGAGAAACCTCCATATGGTTTCCCACAGTGGCTGCATCAATTCATAGTCCTCCAACCTTGTACCTGGGTTTCCTTTTCTCCACATCTGCACCCAAACTTACAGGTGTTGGCTGATTTTGTGATTTTGATTTGCATTTCTCTGATGATTTGCAATGTTGAACATCTTTTCAACTGTATATATTCCCTTGAAAAAATGTCTATTAAGAGCCTCTGCCCACTTTTCGTTGGGTTGCTTGTTATTTAGATTTTGAGTTGTATGAGATATTTATATATTTTGGATACTAACCTCTTATCATCACATCATTTGCAACTTATTTCTCCCATCCATTTACTAGGCTGTCTTTTCATCTTATCAATATTTTACTTTACTGCATAAAAGACTTTTAAATTCAATTAGATAAAAGTAAAAAATTAGGTCATTTGCTTATTTTTGCTCTTGTTTTCTTTGCCTTGAGTTAAATCCAAAAACATATTGTTACGATTTATGTCAAAGAGCATTCTGCCTATTGTTTCTTGTATGTTTTTATGGCCTCTAGACTTACATTTAGATCTTTAATCCATTTTGAGTTTGTTTTTCTATAGGGTATGAGAAAATATTCTATTTTCATTCTTTTACATGTAGTTATCCAGTTTTTCCAGTACACTTATTGAAGAGACTATCTTTTCTACATTGTATATTGCTTTCTTTATCATAGATTAATTGATTCTAAGTATATGAGTTTATTTTCAGACTATCAATTTTATTCAGTTGATATGTGTCTCTTTTGTGCCAGTGCTCTCTCAAATCAGGAATAAGACAAGGATGCCCACTCTTGCTCCTTCTATTCAATAAACTATGGGACGTCCTGGCCACAGGAATCAGACAAGAAAAAGAAATAAAGGTCATCCTAATTGGAAGGGAACATGTAAAACTATCACTATTTGCAGATGAAATAATACTTTATATAGGCAACCCTGAATTTCGACCAAAAATCTAGAATAATTGAATTCAGTAAAGTGGCAGGTACATGATTAATATTCAGAAACCTGTTGCTTTCTATACAGTAATAAAGAACTATCAGAAAGAGAAAATAATAAAACAATCCTGTTTAAAATCACATCAAAAAGAATAAGACACTGAGGGATAAACTTAATCAGGGAGGTGAAAGACCTATACTATGAAAACTATAAAACGATGAAGGAAATTGAGGGTGATACAAACAAATGAAAAGATATTCCATGTACATGGATAGGAACAATTAATATTGCCTAAATGCCCATATTACCCAAAGCAATATATAAATCTAGCATGAGTCCTATCAAAATACTTGTGGTACTTTACACAGAACTAGAACAAGCAATCCTCAAATTTATATGGAAACATACAAGACCATAAGTAGCCAAAGCAATCTTGAAAAAATCAACAGAGATGGAGGCATCACGCTCCCTGATTTAAGGTCAAACTGTATTTTTGTCTCCCAGAATATCCAAGGTGACAGTTAAGTAGATAAGTTAACCGTGGCTAATGTATACAGAAGATACCTTCTGATATTTTCTTTTCTTTTCTTTTTTACTTTCTGATATTTTCATGAGCCACCACTCATTCTTGGGTGGCCAATCGGAGTTGTAAACCACACACCTACTTCTAATCGGTCACTAGAGTAACTCAGCAGTGGGAATTTGGCTCCAAGGCAGGAAACACATGTGGAGCTCAGAGGACCAGCAGCTTCACCCCTACTTACTTTTTTATGTCAATGGACGTGCCTTTCTCTGCTTCCTTCCTCAGGTTCCTCACCAACACATCTCCATACTGCCTAATGATAGGGAACATCTAGACACAAAACACAACAGCGCGGGAAGTTAAATGTGGAGACCCAAGTTTTAGAAGGACCTGGTTCTCAGGGGCATGGAGCCATCAGTGACATTTTACTCTGAATCTGACGATGTCTTTTCCAGGATGTGAAGATAAAAACCATTTCAGGAAACTCAAATTTGGCACACCACTCCTTGGACAGGGATATGAATTTATTTTCTACCTTATTCTTTAAGTTGCTCATGGAAAACCCTTTTCTTTTCTTACCTCCTTAAGCTTCCCACTGGTGAAGGTTGGAGACAGCAATGTCCGTATTCTCTTCCATTGTTCATCCTCAGCCACAGAAACAGCATTTTTCATAATTCCCAGTGGACCAAAAATCTAGAGTTGAAAGCAAATTTTACCCTACCTAAGTGTTGGAAGTCTCAACAGTTATGGAAAATTTGTTAATAATTTGGGAACAATGTATTCAACAAATATTTAGTGACTGTCTACTTAGTACCAGGCCCTATGTTAGATGCACAATAAACATTTATCCTGAATGTCTAGGTTCTTGTGAATGTGGAAGAGACATTCAGCCACTTGATGTGTTTCCAGCCATCATATTCCAATCTGCTTTTAAACGCAAATGACCATGTAGTACAGAAAGGGTTCTTCCAGGGGATAGAAGGGAATAAGATCGAGCTCATCTTCCCAGGCTATGCAGAGACGGATTGGTGACAGCCAGCCAGATAGCCTTGGCAGACTGCATTTTGCCACAAAGCTAGTGGATGTGATGGAATTCCAGTTGAGCTATTTCAAATCCCGAAAGATGATGCTGTGAAAGTGCTGCACTCAATATGCCAGCAAATTTGGAAAACTCAGCAGTGGCCACAGGACTGGAAAAGGTCAGTTTTCATTCCAATCCCTAAGAAAGGCAATCCCAAAGAATGTTCAAACTACCGCACAATTGCACTCATCTCACATGCTAGTAAAGTGATGCTCAAAATTCTCCAAGCCAGGCTTCAGCAATATGTGAACCAAGAACTTCCAGATGTTCAAGCTGGTTTTAGAAAAGGCAGAGAAACCAAAGATCAAATTGCCAATATCTACTGGATCATCAAAAAAGCAAGAGAGTTCCAGAAAAACATCTGTTTCTNGAAGAATTGATGCTTTTGAACTGTGGTGTTGGAGAAGACTCTTGAGAGTCCCTTGGACTGCAAGGAGATCCAACCAGTCCATCCTAAAGGAGATCAGTCCTGGGTGTTCATTGGAAGGACTGATGCTGAAGCTGAAACTCCAATACTTTGGCCACCTCACTCGAAGAGTTGACTCATTGGAAAAGACCCTGATGCTTGGAGGGATTGGGGGCAGGAGGAGAAGGGGACGACAGAGGATGAGATGGCTGGATGGCATCACCAACTCAATGGGCATGAGTTTGAATAAACTCCGGGAGTTTGTGATGGACAGGGAGGCCTGGAGTGCTGCCTCCAGCAGCAGTGCGACCTCATGGGGTCGCAAAGAGTCGGACATGACTGAGCGACTGAACTGAACTTTGGTCTTTACATATATTTACAGCCTGATCAACTGGAAAAAGGAATGTGCTGATATGGTGGGGGCTTTTTAAGTAGTACTAACTATGCAAAAGTTTATGGATCAAAAAAAAAAGTTTATGGATCTACTTCATATTCTGAAAAAAATTGCGCAATGACATGGAAAACCTTTTCCCCTACATTTTCCCCCAGGAATAGAAGGGGGAAGAAGACAACTTTATTTCTCAGCTTGGGACAGGCGTATGAAGCCAGCCTGTTTGAAAATTTCCTCAATATTTCAAATATATATTTTGTTTTAAAATAGATCGCTCCAATACTCATTTATGATAAAACTCACAAAACAGGAAGACAAAAAAATTTCCTCAACTTGATAAACAGCATCTACAAAAAGACCTACAGCTTATATCACTTTAACGATGAAATACCAAAGTGACATCTCCAAGACAGAAGACTCATCATCAGAGTAGGAGACTCCAGCCTTTGTTGTCTCACAATTAGACAGCTCACAGTAAATGAAAATAGATCTAAGAAGTGTCGGCAATACAACAGAGCACACTTGAAAATAGCTCATAAAAAGAGTAAGGAGAAGAGTTGTATTTTGTTTGCATCATCCCTTCCCCTAGGCCAGCACTGCTCAGCATCAAGAGGAAATTCCCCAGCCTGAGACATTTTCCCTTACTGGGAAAAAAAAAAAAAAAGACTAAAAGAGACAACAGGATCAGTGACCCGTTTCTCCAGCCTTTCAGAACATTGCACAAATGACCTGCTTTGCTTTCATCCCACCCAGAGATGAGCAGAGCTGAGACACCCAGAGACAACTAGGAACAAAGAAGAAGGGCAGGGACTACCAGTGTCAACCACGCAGCAGGAGTGACTACGGTTCTCTGTATCCTGCTCTGCAGAAAACCCCAGAAACTTTGCTATGATGAAACCAACTGCCAGCATAGTCATTGAAAAACCTCTGAAAATTTTGGTGCTAACTCCCCAGGGTTCTACATTAGCAGACTCCAATTGCCTGAGCCCTGTCTTTCCCCTCCACCCTCAATAGAGCTGCTCCAGCCAGTGATGCCTGGAGACCCAGGATCCACACCAGCTTCCAGCCCCGATCTTCTTGGCTGGGCATGTGCAAAACCCCATCCCAGACCCCTGCAGCTGCTCAGGTGTCTATACTACATCAGTGGAAAGCAGTAGGTATTATGTGCTTTTGTAGCTACACACACACACACACACATACCTATCTGTCTTTATCTGTATCCATCTATCTGTCATCTGGCCTGTTATCATCTATCTACATACAAAAGCGTGGATTTAGACTGATAATTCAGTCGATGACTCCACAGGGTTTACTCTAGTTTCTCAGTCTCTGAACCTGTGACTTCTTCTCCAATGGTGAGAATGCTGGCTTCCAGCATCCTTTCTATATAATTACTTGATCAATCCTCCTTTATGGAGCAAATCTACAATCCATCCCTTTCCACTCACGATGCCCTCTCACCCTACGAGCTACCGCTACAAGTGAGTATTTTGTGTTCTCTTACCAGTGAAAGTGAAAGGGGTTTCCCTGATAGCTCAGTTGGTAAAGAATCTGCCTGGAATGCAGTAGACCTTGGTTCGATTTCTGGGTCAGGAAGATCCCCTGGAGAAGGGAAAGGCTACCCACTCCAGGATTCTTGGACTTCCCTTGTGGCTCAGCTGGTAAATAATCCGCCTGCAATGCAGGAGACCTGGGTTCAATCCCTGGGTTGGGAAGATTTCCTGTAGAAGGGAAAAGCTACCCACTCTAGTACTGTGGCCTGAAGAAATCTACGGATTCTATAGCCCATGGGGTCGCAAGAGAGTCAGACATGACTGAGTGACTTTCGCTTTCACTTTACCAGTGCCTGGCTGCTGTCCCTGTGGACACCCTCCCCTCCCTACTCGGTCTCTGACTTGGAGCCACTGTCCTCCTTCTCTGGCCCCACCCTGATGTGTGAGGCTGCCCACCTTCTGTGGCCCACCTTTGGGTTTAGGACTGGAATGTCCAGGAAGAGATGGCAGGCAGGGGAAGGAGAGGTGAGGGAAGGGGCAGGAAAGGGAAAGGAAGGGCCATGTACAGCTTCTGACCCCACTGAAACTGACCAGTGTGTGCAGCCTTTCTCCCAATCAACTGATCAATCAGCCACCTTTAATTCAACATTCATGGTGTTAAGGCAGTTGTGTGAGTCCTACCCTACTGCCTCCAACCCCACTAGAGCTGCCCAGCCAGTGCCACCGCTGATGCTATAAGACCCAGGATCCACACCAGCAGCCAACCTTTTTCGATGCACATGTGCAAAACACCATCAGAGGCCCCTGCATATGCTCAGATGCCTAAAGCCAGTCCTGACTACTGTCACTCGACTGCACTGGCCCACCTGTCCACAGCTAACCTCTGCAGCCGCACACCTGCACACTGCCCGGCTCAAGCCTGAGCACAGCAGTGAAGACCCAGGGCAGCAAAAAGTGAAGTAAATAAATACTAAAAAAATAAATTATTTTAAATGGATAGTCTTTCCATAAATGGTGCTGGAGCAAATCAGACATTTAGATGCAAAAAAAAAAAAAAAAAAAAACAAACCCAAAAAACTTAACCTCACATGTTACACAGAAACTAACACAAAATGGATTATAGACTTAAAGTTAAAACATAAAGTGATTTAATGCTTAGGGACAAAATAGGAGAAAATCTGCAAGGCCTAAGGCTAGGTCAAGATATTTTGGACTTGACAACAAAGGCAAAATCCATAAAAGGGAAAACTGATAAGTCACTCATCAAAGTTTAAAGAGCAGTATTTGCTATGCTGAAGATCTTGATAAGAGGAAAAAACAAGCTACTTGCTGCAAATATAAAAGAATAGTAAGAAAGAGCCTTGTAGGGATGGAATAGTTCTATCCATTGGTTGCCGTGGTAGCTACACAAATCTACATCTAGGACTCATTTTCATAGAGCAAAACGTACAAAACGAATGAGTATGAAACTGAAGAAATCACAATAAGCTCTGTGGATGGTATGAATGTCAGTTTTCTGCTTTGAAATTGTATTCTAATTAATCAATGTATTGCCATTGGAGGAATCAGGACAAAAGGTACATGAAATCCAGCCTCTCTGCGTTTTTCTCTTTTGACAACATCCTGTGAATTTATAATATATTTCAAAATGCATATCTAATAAGCAAATTGCAAATTTAAAAAATGGATGCCTACCTTCCGGTTTGTGAAGACAGAATAACATTCTTTCACTAGTACTGTTTTGATCACATCTGGATCTGTGATAACCAACAGAGGATATTTACCTTCAAAAATCCTGTGTAGGGAAAACAGAGCTGATTAAACTTAAGGAGCCATTTTCTGCAGCTGGAGCCATACCTGGAAGTCCAGATGTTTATCTTAACATTACATAATCCATCCTTCTAAGGTCATCATTAAAAATACCATGAAAACACTGCTAATTCTAGGTGGTAGGTATATGGGTATTTCTTATATCATTTTCCATAATTTTTATAGGTTTAATGTATTTCATATCAAGAAGGAAGTTAGGTTAGAAAATAATTGAAGAAAGCAAATTATCTGAAAATTAAAAAATAATTAAGGGGAGACCATCTACTCAGTCATTTTTGAAAATATACCCAAAGCATGAAAATGTGTATAATATTAGATGAAAACTGTAGACACATCTATCATAAATATGTAACAATATATCTGCAAATAGAAGAAGATTTGGAATGCTCCACAAGTGACAGTGGGATTATGAAAGATTTTCTCTTTTGTCCTATTTTCTAAAATTTGCTTATTAGTTTATATTTTTTAAGGAAAAATTTTAAATAGTGAGATATCCTTGGTAGCATCAAGTTCAGGATAATTTGAACAAAAGAAAAAGAGAATGAAAAAAATCAGAGAAGCATATATAATTCAGTTTTTTAATATTTTCTTTTCATTTCATGGGTCCCGTGGGCCTCAGGCTCCATGTAGGTAACATCTGTCAGCAGCATGGCAGGCCCACATTTGACCCACCTATCACACAAAGCTGACTCTTCAGATGTGAGACATCACTGTTTGACCTGATCTCCTGACTGTCAGGATGTCCCTTCATGGGAATCGGCCACTGACATGAGATTTACTATGAGTTATTTACTGTCTTCTGACATTTTGGTTTCCCTGTCAATCACTTGCAATGGCTAGAACGAAAGATTTTCTACATGTTCCCTATCTTCCTTTAACTCCATAGAAGAATTTCAAATCATTTTGTGATTGCATATAAAAATCACAGAGAAACACTGCACTTACTTTTGCCCATTTCCAAAAGCTGTTCTAAAACTCAGATGGTGTAAGAGGGTGTCAAGAGCATTTAGTGCTGAAGCAGTGACAGGAGGGATTGAGGAGGCACTTAATCTGCTCTTCCACCTTATTACTCGGACAATTCCCTTCTTCCCATTATGGTTTTGCAACAACACTTGGGTGGAGGAGAGATAGTGGTTTGGGGTGACCCCTGATATTCATGATGTCACTCCAGCCTTAATAATTTCTCTCACTAACAGTTACAATCAGATTTTTGAACCAGATCAATAGTGCACAATCAGATCATAGTGATTCTGTGCACTGATGAGTGGGGTCAAAGTCTGTATTTATAACAAGCTCTCCCAGGTGCTCCTCATACATGCAAGCATGAGAACCACTTTCTAAAAAGAGAACTGGGATCCACCATGAAAAAGGGACTCCATCCAGAGCTCACAAGTACTAAATGTTGGAGGGGCAGTTGGAGCTGGGCCAGGAGTGTCCCAGTGCTATGGATTCTTTACATTCAACCAGGTTGACGTCTGGGGCCATGGCAACTCACAGGGTCCCATGGTTAATGAGGGCCTGATGAGAGAAGATGAAGAGGTCCGGACGGGTAGAGCCTCTGCCACTTGCTTTTGGCAAAGAAGCCCCACAAGACACCTCTCCCTCTGCTCACCAAACCTCCAACAGCTCCTAAAGCCCACTGGACACACTCTGTGTCAGATATATATACCCTACATCTCCTCAAGGTCAGAGAAAAACAGTAGAGAAGACAATCATTGAGTACAATTCTGTTGGAAAATCTTACCTGAAAATTTAAAACAAACAAACAAACAAACTCCATACTTGTAGAAAAAGTAAAAAGCTGAGAAGATATGATTTCCCATTATGTTAACCTATAACCCTCATCTCTTTTTCCAAAAGGACATATTAAATCCAGAATTTAAATAAAGGATATTGGGTTTAAATTAAAAGAGAGTCATGTGGGAAAGGGTCATATAATACTTTTATGAGCACATATTGTTCTTGGATAATGCATTTTATGCAATTAAAGGTAACCAAAGGAGAGAAAAATGGAAAAGGGAAGGAAGAGTGAGATCCTGGAGAGAAAGGGATGCTAGGAGTCCCTGGGCCTCAAAGTCTGGAGAAGAGTGACGACCTGTGACTCTCCAGGCCTGATTCAGACTGTGGACCTGGATACCTGTGGCCTCTAGGATCTCTGGTAGAGCAAGCCTGCAAGTTTTACAACACATGACTTCATTCCAAGAAGCTCTGGACTGAGACTGTCCTCCACACCACCAGGGAGAGGGGAGGATTATTGTAACAAGTGTGTCCGATAGAAGTTTTCAGAATACTCACCCCCACATTTTCCCATACTTTTTAAAACATTCTTCATCAAATTCACAAATACCCTATAAGGAAAAACAATATTACATTATTAATATACTGTATGAACCTTAGCTCTAATTGATAAAACTACTAGCTTTCACTGGCAGTTGGAGGGAAGTTCTTATTCACAAATGTCTTAAAGGAAAGGAGAGAAAATAGAGGAGATATTTGTAACAGAAAATTTAAAATCACTCTTGAATTTTCTTTGAATATTATAGATACTAAACACTTACCCCATCAGTGAATACTAATTGCTCCTTGTCATCCTGAAGGTTTTTTGCTTGTGCATGTATTGTCTAAAATCTCTTAATCTCTAATCCACCGTGGACATGTGAGAAAACTGGAGATGAGGGAAGTAAGGGTTTCCTACACACACTTTCCTCTCCTAGTTTAAAAGCCTTTTCATTTATCTCATGAGCTCTTTCTAGAATTTTAGCAGAATAAGGAAGTTAAAGCACCAGGAATGTCTTCTAATCTCACAGATCTAAAGAAGTCTAAGGGGTGTATGTTCCATGAGAAAGTGAATGAGTGAGTGAATGAATGACAAAGTGAACATGCCTTCTAGCTTTCCAGCTCAACACAGAAAAGATGGGGCAATGCTACAAATATACAAAGAATAGTGGTTTTAAACACCTGGCCTGAGTTTTTACTTCTATAACTTAAAAAAAAAGCCTGTCCCTAAGTTTCTATCATGATATTTAATGCTTTAACAAGTAAATGAAGGTCCCAGAAATGTGGGTTGGGGTGCATCTACTAAGGAGTTCATCTGGGAAAGGTGGAGAGGAAATTACTACTTCCTCAGATGGGAAAAAGTTCAGGAAGTTCTGAGGCAGTAATGAGACAGTGAAGACCTCAGTTGGGAGAATCAGGATCTGAGAAACAAGCCTCATGTCTGCAGGACAGGAAATCTGAGCCAGAGGGCAGCCTGCACATAGGGCTCTGCCCCTGCACATCGGAACGCAGCTCACGACCTTCAGTTCGGGGGCAGGGCCCTGGGGGAGGCATCAGAGCTGAATGAACATCAGAATTCACAGTCCGTCTGCCACCTAGTACATTCCTTTCAGTTAAATTAAACTTCTAATAATTTTGTCAAATCATACCCTTTCTAGTGATTTTTGTATATCTGATTCTGCCTTATTTAAAAAATTAAAAAAAAACACTCCACAACTTATTTATTGGTTAAATATCTGAAGTAAATAGACAAACTTGCCTCAGTTACAGTCATTCCCTGCTCAAACTCACCCATGAGTTGCCTGCTTTGAAGGCACAGAAGAAAAACAGAAAGCTTTTGGCCCATTTTTTTATATCCCAAAAGATGTCATGCATAGAAAGAGGTGAGGTAGAACATGGAAAAAAACTGTAGGCATTAGCAGTTCTTGAGAGAATCCAAGTATGTGCAAATTACCTGATACATTAGAACCGAAGCATCCAAGCAATTCAGGAGAAAGGAGAAAAAAGGGTACCTAGAGCTTATGCTACCAATAGGACACATCTGACTCTACTATGTGCTGCTTAATGAGCCACGACAAGGCATCCCTTCATGCTTTCCTCCTGACAATTAGTAGGGCTGTGCCTTGCTGGGAACCTGCACCTGGCATAGAGATCCTCTTCACAAAGCTTACAAGATGGAACTTCAAGTCCTGTGCTGACTCAGCCAAGAGAGCTCAACTGTCTGAGGAGGCAAACCTGAGGCTCTTAACAGCTGACAATAGAGGCCTGGCATAAAGAGGGCATATGTAGGTGGGGCCTACGATGCCATTTCTGGGAAATATGAAAACTGACAACTGCCTACTGAGGAGGAGAATTTTTACTATGGAACTCAGCTGGGATTTGCAACCATAAGAAGCAAAAAAGGGACATCAAGCAATATGTACCTTTCGGTAGGACAGAATGTTTCCAAAAAGAGGCAGAGGTCTTGGGCCAGGAACCCCCAACTTCTTAAACAGTCCATGTGAATAAGTTCCATATCTATAAAGTGAAAGAGGAAATCCAGGTCAGGGATTGTGGAATAAGTGCTGGGGCTGGCTACTCACTGACTCAGAACTGGATCCATCAGCCTAGAGAAGTAACATGTAGGTGATAAATAATACCAGCAATTCCAAAAGCAATAATTACTTTCATTCATCTTCTTCTTTCCCTCCTCCACAGTGAGACCATAAATAGCAGCTGAAATCCTGATGGTTCCAATCTTAGAGTGGATGCTTGATAAATGTTTACTATTTCAGAGCTCCTGAGAGGTTTAGGCTAAAATTCCTCCAAAAAATTCATTCATATATAAATTCATTCATTAGTAAGTTGACTCTTCCATGGTTTAGAGATTCTCATTCTAGATACAAAGGGGAAACTTTCTTTTTCTGTATCAAACATGAGATTTTGGTTATCTGCATCCACCCAATGACAGAGTTACTAGACTTTACCTTAGCATTGTTCTCATCCTTTTCCTTTCCTCTGATGTTTTGTTGTTTAGTCACCCAGTCATTTCCAACTCATTATGACCCTATGGACTGCAACATGCCAGGCTTCCCTGTCCTTCACTATCTCCTAGAGTTTGCTCAAACTCATGTCCATTGAGTCAGTGATGCTATCCAACCATATCATCCTCTGTGCCCTCTTCTCCTGCCCTCAATCTTTTCCAGCATCAGGTTCTTTTCCAATGTGTAAGTTCTTCCCATCAAGTGGCCAATGCATCAGAGATCCTTCCATGATCTGACCTCATTTTAAGATCTGATTATTCTTAACTCTGTCTTCAAGAGCAGGCCTTAAAGCAAGCACAGTATTCTTATCTGTAGAATGAAAACTGTGTTCAAGGCTTCCATTGCCATCATAGAAATTGAGCACCTTTCAGCTACACCCATGGCTCTGTTGTCAGGCAATTTGGTTGACTTGAATGACAAATAAGTTGTAGTGATTGACCCTTTTGTTCCCTGAAACTGTATAAATGAATCAATGACTAAAGGATCCATCTCCAGACCATTCCCCACCTCATGGTATCTGGTCCTCCAACCACCTGCTAAGCCCAGTGCCTGAAATACACTAATTTTTCTAAAGATGCTCAATCACAAAGCCTCTGTACTTCAACTATCTTAAAAACCAATTAACCTGGTGCTCCCTATGGCAGGCCTGTCTGCAGGTTATCCTTTATGTATTATGTGTGCAAGCCCACAACTCCAGGTTCTAGATCTTTGCAAGCCTGCTCACTCTGGTGTTGCTGAGAGATGACAGAGTGCAGGAAAAGAGGCTGAAGGAAGAGACTGCCATCAATGATTTAAAGTGAACTTGCTAGGCCTCCAAGGCTAAGTCTGTAGAGTCAAATTAGTAAGGTATGGTTGAAAAGCATGCTGTGTGTTAAATGGTTCAAAATGCCCTACAGGCACTTTCAACAAAGAGATATCGGGGTTCCCAGTCTTCAGTTAGCTTCCCATGTAGAACAAAAGACACTTTGTGTGACAAAAAATGAGTGACCATAAAAAAACTTCAGAATATTAAATGAAGATCTTGCCTCTCCTTCTTTGGAAGGTAGCCTTTGAGGTAGCACAGGTTCAAATCTCTGTATAAATCCAGCAATCTCACAATATGTGATGAGAGAAACCCCAAAAATGTCACAGAAGGACCTATGCTGGAAGCGCACACAGAGGTACATTGTCCAAGCGCAGGTGGCAATACCTCTCTTTCGTCCAGAGCAAGTGGTGGAGGTGTGGGCACCAACTGCCACAGAAGGGGTGGCCGGGGCAATTCCCACCCCAGTTGCTTCCCCTTTTGTTTGTCTTGCTTTCCTGTTTCTCTTCACAAACAGGGCAAGTCAATTTCTGCTTCCGAACCTTCAGTGTGCTACATGAACTCAACAGTGAGGCCAAGCAATTGAGTGACCATATTGGCAACACAGGTCCCACAGAAAGATCTGGCCTAGTGTCTAAAATCACATGGTTCCACCAAGGCAGCAGGTGGACTAAGTGAATTATTTGACTTCTTTCTAGCTCTTCACTTTGGTTGGTGCAGTAATGCTGTTTTCGGTAAAAAGGAAGGGACTAAAGATAAAGCCAATCATTTTTAAAGTCTTTACATCGTGTCGGCATAGTGAGAGCATTGCCTGCAGCAGCTGATTCCTGGTGCACCGGTACCTTCTCAGGCTACAGGGATACTTGCCTGGTGGGGACACTGGCTAGTACCAGCCCCACTGTCAGACGGACCACACGCAGTGTGACTGAGATTGTGTCTTGTCCCCAGGCTTCAAGCAGATGAGATGCCAGCCCTGTTGACCTCCTGTGGGACCAGGACTGAGGAGAATCTCGGGGTGGGGGGAGGTTCTGCTCTGAGGAATGAGGAATATTCTCCCCTCCATCTGATCTCTTTCTGGATGCCTCTCATATCATCACTGGCTCCAAGGCATGTATACTCATCTGCCCTGAAGATTAAAATATCTTGCTGGACATGTACATTTAAAAACATATATCACAGGAATATTTTACTACACTAGATTCATATTCCAGGCATTATTCTAGAGGGTGAATTTATTTACATACTTTTCTAGGTACTGGACAACAGTCCTCTTTTATCCTTCAGGGAAAAAACACATGCTGGAAATAGTTGTATCAGTTTTCAAAATCTAGTCCTAAATAGAATGAAATTAAACTGTACCAATTAATTTTATAATATCATACAGAAAATATGTTGCTGCAATACCTTAAATTCCTAGTATTTCTTTCAAGTAATTAAAATGAGGTTAATATTACTCATGTACATGTCATCATGATTTCCTACATTTAGTGAAAATGAAATTGACAGAACCCAAATGTGATTTGTAGGGGTATCTCTAATCACTCAGTGGAAGTAACTCCTGTCCCAACCTAATGCATGATAACAGAATCTCCACATTGAATGGAATTTTTCTGCTAGATGGTTTTGATTCAACCTTCTGTGCCACACTTATACAGGGAAAGTAAAATCCAAATTGGACTCTGGGGCTTGTGCCTCTTGTAGGCTTAGTAGATTTTGTATCACAGGGGAAAGAAAATATGTACACTGATTCTAACCCATCCAGAGATTGAAAGAAAAGGTGAAAGAAATGAATATAATTTCAAGATTTTTACCAAGTCTCCTCAGATCTTAGGATTTCTCATTTGGAAACTAGACAATTCCTGCAGAGTACAGGGTGCGGGAACTGAGTCTTAGGAAGGGGTGCCCTGAGGAGGGGCACAGAAAGGGGGGCGGCTGAGTATGAAAACGGAGTTGCTCGGTCTCAGGCCGCCCAGCGAGGCCGGGTGCAGCGGTGCCTTGTGTAGACGGCACCGGGAAGGAGGGTCCGAGCAGGGGCTTCTGAGTGACAGGGGCCAATCCTTCCCCGTGGCTCTCGCAGCAGGTACAGAAGCCAGAAGTCGGAGAGAATGAAACAAAGACCCACGTTGCTTCTTGCCCCCAGGATTCCCAGCCTGGAATTCCCCAGTGGGAATCAGTGAGGACTATGCTGCACGTGGGTCAGTTGTTTTTAATTTGCCTTTGATGAACTCTAGTTGACTAGTCTAGGTCCATGCAGACTGGTCGTCAATCAGAGGGTCATCCACAGGAGCAAATAATGTCACAAACCCTCCTAACTATGCTAACACAACTCAGGAGTAAAGTTAACTCCTTCAACAGATGTGGGTAAGATCAATAATAACCCATTTGGTGCCCATAGCACCTGATGTTTGAGCAACTTCCCCTCCATTTACCTTGAACTTTAAAAAACTAAGGGAACCCCCTTTTATGCTTAGCACCCCAAGACCCAGCTTACAGGGGAGATGAGCCTAACAGTTACTCACAGATAGAGGAGCACCAGGCTGGTAGCCAGGAGAACCCAGGTTTCCACAGAAAAGCTTGGGATCAGCTCCATGGCCACTTTTCTTGGCAATTCCCTCCTCTGAGTTTCCTCTCAGCTGTGTGTGCTGCCCTCTGCCTGCCTCTGAGTGCGGAGCTTCTGTTCACATCAGGTGGAGGTTCAGCCCAGTTGGGAGATTTATGTGCCGAGAAAGGAGGTGAAGCTGGAGCTGCAACCAATAGAAGGGCCACCTGGGCTCCACCTGCAGGAGCCCCCTCTACCTTAGTAGTTGGCCGAGCATCATACACATTACAATTTGACCTCCCTTGAGTTCATATTCTGTAGGAAATCAATGAACAACTCAGTCAATGTTAGAAGTAAGCACAAAGGTTACAGAAACTCAAATAAACGGTTGCCTGCAGTCCAAAATGTTTGAAATCCTTCAAACAAGATGGTGGTGGTGGGTTAGTTGCTAAGTCGTGTCCCACTCTTTGTGACCCCATGGAGAGCATCCCAACAGGCTCCTCTGTCCATGGGATTTCCCAGGCAAGAATACTGGAGTCAGGTGCCATCTCCTTCTCCATGGGGTCAAACAAGATGGCTGTACTGATTTGTTACTCATACCATTCTTTTTTCTGCCTAGAAATGCCCCTGTGTTCCTTGTAGGCTCTTAATTATGCTTCCAAATAAAGCTCAGACAGAACATCTGTGTTAGAGATTTCCCAAACAAACCCCCTTCAGCAGATATAACAATTTCCTCCTCTGGGGAACTGTCCCCTGCACACAATTCTACTATCTCCCACACCACAGTCAGTTTCCCAGTCTAGTCCCCTCAGTGGATCAAGAGCTTGGGCACATGCTGGACACTAGCCACAGTCATGTCCCAGGCACCGAGCAGAGTGCTTTCTGTAGAGTGGGCATCCAGAAAGGTAGATGGATTGAGCTGGTAGAAGCAAAACCACTGGGCACCTCTGTGCCCTCTCCCAGTGGCTCTTTGGTGACCACGTCATCTTCCTGAATTGCTGACACACCAAGAGGGCCTGGCTGGGCCTTGGTCACTGTCTCTTTATTTTCAGAAGAATCCACCAGGATCCTGTTGGCAAGAGGGCCCCAGAAGGAGAGGCAGGACATGGAGGAGAGGGTGATGGCTGCACCAATGGTATCAACTCAGGCTCATCCCTGTCCCACCCTCAAAGTATCCTGCAAGTCAGATTCTAGATCAAAGAATGGTCTCTTCTGTCTGGAAATGCTGAAATCCAAGATCAAAGGGTATAGCGAGAGAGAAAAAAGCAGCCCGATGGCCAAGAGGACCCCAACATCCTTAGCCACCAGTGATGTGGCACGTACAGCAACAGGACTTCAAAAAGATCACAGGAGGGCATGTTATTTCTTGGGAACGTGGGGTGTGGATGGGTCAGAGCAGATGGGTTCCCACTTTTGGACAGATAAGGAATTTGGGGGCTTCCCAGGTGGTACTAGTGGTAAAAGAAAAAAACCCCACTTGCCAATGTAGGAGACCTAAGAAACACAGGTTCAACCCCTGTAATGGGAAAATCTCCTGGAGGAGGAAATGGCAACCCACTCCAGTATTCTTCCCTGGAGAATCCCATGGCAGAGCCTGGAGGGCTACAGTCCACAGGGTCACAAGGAGTTGGACACAACTGAGGCAACTTAGCATGCACAGACAGGGAATTTTAATTGGGTTACAAGGAGCTGATACTGAGGAGGCCTAGAGTAGCAGTTGGTATCACCTGCTGGTAGGCCACCCCCTGTGCACTTAAGTCGCTTCAGTCATATTTGACTCTGTGACCCACAGGCTGTAGCCTGCCAGGCTCCTCTGCCCATGGGATTCTCCAGGCAAGGATACTCCCAGGCAAGGAGTGCATTGCCATGCCCTCCTCCAGGGGGTTTTCCCAATGCAGGGATCGAACCAGCGTCTCTTATGTCTCCTGCAATGGCAGATGAGTTCTTAACTACTAGGGCCACCTGAGAAGCCCAGGCCTCCCTCTACCCCTGCTGAATTCCTGAAGGGAGCAGGATGAGGGCTGAGCATCGAGACATTACACTTGCTCATTATCAGTACTTTGAATCATGTCCTGTATCTGCCAGACCTGAATAACCATGGATTATGTGAAAAACAAAACCTCAAACATTCTTAAAGCTTAATAGAAACATAAGACATGTAAGTTGTGTTTGTGCACTTCCTTCTCCCTTTATCCTGTCTCACTTTCACTCCTTTGCAGAAAGTGATACTCACCTCTTGCAACCTCTAGGGTGAGGTGGGGGATGTTCTTTCTGACCTACACACATCTCACCATGAAGAAACACTCACACATGTCCCTTACTCTGGCTGAGAGTTCCCAGTCTGTCTCACACTGGCCAGAGTGGGTGGAATTCTCATTAGCAAAATGCAGTAAGTCCGAACTATCTCTCCTGCACTCTTTTATTTCCTTGGGAGCTTCTCATGGAGGATGAAATTTTTACCATCAAAGTTTGTCTACTTGGGGTTCACTTTGGCCAGGAGGCCTTTGTTAAAATCCACATTCCAATGAGAATTGAAATGTCTGAACACATTTATCTGTCTGTTGCTTCAATCCAAGTGAGTTAATTCAGGTGCCAGTATTGTGCTGAAATATGGGCTAGAAGCCATAAAGTCCCCTCCCTTGGGAGCAGCCTCTGGGTGGAGGGAGTGAGACGCACAATCAAGCTCAGTATGGGGCATACCTCTGGAATCCTTGGGGAAATGAAGCCCTAGAGAGAGGCAGCAAAGGAGAGAAATGGATGCAAGCTCGAGCACCAACAAAGGACACACCCGGGAAGCTGGAAGATGATCCTCAGGGAAACTCAGAAAGTCCGAGGGATTTTGATGCATCTCTGCCCCTTTCGGTGCCTTCCCTGGGTACCTTTGGGGCTTCCCTGGCGGCTCAACTGTAAACAATCTGCCTGCAACGCAGGAGACCCAGGTTCGAACCCTGGGTCAGGAAGATCCCCTGGAGAAGGGAATGGCTACCCACGCCAGTATTCCTGCCTGGAGAATCCCATGGACAGAGGAGCCTGATGGACTATTGTCCATGGTGTTGCAAAGAGTGGGACATGATTGAGTGACTAAGCACACACACTGCTGCTGCTGCTGCTGCTAAGTCGCTTCAGTCACGTCCAACTCTGTGCAATCCCATTCAGGGCAGCCCACCAGGCTCCCCCGTCCCTGGGATTCTCGAGGCAAGAACACTGGAGTGGGTTGCCATTGCCTTCTCCAAGCACACACACTACGTAGCTTTAAAGAGAGTCATGCTACAATCCCCCATTTACAGATATATAAAGTGAGGCTCAGTGACTGCAAGTAGCTTCCCAACAGCGATTGGTCAAAACATGTTATAACTAAGATGAAGAAAGACAGCAAGTCTTCCGCTCTGAATGCAAATACTCAACGTTTGCCGTTTCATGATGAGAGTCACTGTGTGAAATAGTGAAACCCAAGGTTGAAGCAGCACATTAGTTACAATTCTGGCTTCTATCCCCATATCTACCCCTGCCCAGGGGCTCCCCCATGGGTCTGAAGAACCCAGGACTTCATGTCACCTCAGCAGGAACAAGGACAGGTGCTTGTCACGAGGACCCAACTGTCTACATTCCCCACTGAAAAGAACACAAAATACATCCTCCATGAAGAGATTACAGTGTCATCTGATAACTGCTGAAAACTTGATTCACTCAGCTAAACCCACAGCCTTCTTATTCTTCTTGGAAACAATCCTTGTGGAACCTACGTACTTTCACTTTCTTACAAAACATATGCCAAAATGATGGTTTTCTCACTAAGTGTTACACACCATCACCTTCCCAATTCACCTCAGGGCCCGGTCCAACTGGTTGGAATCCATCCCAGTGTCAACTGTCTAGTCAAGTCCTGAGAAAAATGTGTAGCCAGAGCCATGTCCTAGCAAAGGCAAACAGTCTTGCTCTACAAGGGGAAATAACAGAAGGCATGATCTTAGTTCCCTTCATTCCACAGCAGACACACCTGAGTTGAAAAGTCTCGCATATGAAGAGCGTGAAGGAAGACGTGTGCCTGAAGAGCACCCCGCACCTCACGTCTCTCCTCTGGCCATTTGTGTACCAGTGGCCTCGGCATGGTCAAAGCTCTATTCCTAGTGTTTCATATGCAGATTTGACAAAGATCCAGATATTACCCACGTGGAAGGTAGAGAGAAATAGTTACGTACAGCCAAAGTAAACTAATTATACATGTTTTGAAAACACAGTGTCCTCATCAACTATACACGGCTTATCTTTTCAGACCTTAGCAATCAGTCAGAGATGGAAATCAAAGAACACGCATGGAACTGGGCATTAGGCTTAGATATCAGGAGAGGTGAGCACGGTGTCAAGGACTCAGTGATGCAAGAGGCCCCATCAGTCTGCTATTCCTGTCCTTTTAGAGGTGACTCCTCTTCTGGGAAGCCTGTCTACTGGCTGAGAGAACTGCTCACAGTATATGGAGGCTGTGTTGCTCTGGACTGATTTATGCGCTAGATTCCAATTTCACAGATCGCGGTTCTGTGACCAGAGCTCTGCCCCAACACAGAGGCAAGGTGAGAGCCCCTAGCAAGCCAGTCAATGGGGGCTGGGGTGAGGTGCAGGGATGTTCTTTCTGACCCACACCCACCATGAAGAAACACACACAGCTGCCCTTAAGCAGAAGCACTTCCATGGACTTCACAGCAAAGGGATGGGAAGGACCTCATGGCTGCTCACTTTCTACTCCATTTCTGAGTTTCTCTTTCTTGATAAATGAACCACTAACATCTCTACTGCACAGTACACTTTAGAAAGTTCTTTCAGGAAAAGGAAAGAGAAGTCGCTCTGTTGTGTCTGACTCTTTGAGACCCCAAGGACTGTAGCCTGCCAGGCTCCTCCATCCATGTGATTTTCCAGGCAATAATACTGGAGTGGGTGCCATGTTCTTCTCCAGGGGATCCTCCCAACCCACGGATTGAACCTGGGTCTCCCACACTGCAGGCAGACTCTTTATGGTCTGAGCCACCAGGGAAGCAAAGAAAGTTTTTTCACGTCTCTCTTAACTGATTTCCTGAAAACTCTGAGATAAGCAGCGCTGGGGTTGTTTGATTCCCACTTTACAGATGTAAAAACAGAAGCTCATGGTGGGGAAGAATCTTGCCCAA